AATATAAATTACAACAAATCAATAATGTCTATTTACAATTATTTCTGATAGTCCGTAATTAAAATATGATCTGGTAAGCCCATCCCGGCCCAGACAATTCACAAGTGCGTATCAGGGACGGATAAATCATACTAAGTGCATAACCGAGCCAGGTTTAAGCCCGGTCCAGATGAGGCTAAAATGGATTGAACCAGGCCAGCGTCCGGCTTACGCAGAGCTCTAATCAGCCCACTAACATGAGAGACAACAAGACAACAAGACAACTAAGATTATGTTTTTAATAACAATTATGTTACTATTTCTGTATGAACTCAAACTCCATTTTTAAACTAGTAGAACGGCTTATAACGAATTATTTTTTATTCATATTAAACATTTAATAGACTTGGAAAGTATATAATTTAGACTTTTTTTCAAGAAACTACATACCTAAAAGCTTCACAGGTTTAGAAAGTTTACGAAAGAAAATATTAAACTGAACAAACTGTTAAAGGTCTCTGTAAAATCTCAATTAACGAAATTATATTTCATATATCCATAAAGCCATATAAGCCTTAAAGATTATTTTTGATGAATTTACAGTGATTCAAATAAATTATATCATCACTGTTATCCATCTACTTTATGATAACTTTGTCAGCTAGTGATCAATTTTCTCTAAATAGCTTATTTCAACAATGTTGCACTATTTTAGTATTCATTTATTTTCATTTTTAGTTTTCATATTATGGAACGATTAGAGGATTATAAAAGTTGCTATAAATTGCTATAATATTTATAAAAGTTTAAAGTAAAAAAAAAAAAATAATAACAGTAAATATTATAAAATATATATTTTATTTCTTTTAAAATTTTAACAAATTCGAAACTACAATCAATTTATTTGCCTTGTTCATCTGAATTTTTTTATTGCATTTCATAAAAAAAAAATGTATTCCTTATTTGTAAAAATCAGCATAAATATTATACTCAACATTTTTTTTAGATTGCTCTATAATAGTATGAATTCAGGGGCGTATTTATGGGGGGGAGCGAGGGGGCCCGGGACCCCTCTGAAATGAAAAACATTATTGTTAAAGATTGTTATTTTTAACATGAATATGTCTTAATGCTGGAGGTTTCTGAAAATGTGTCGCGACACTGAGAATGTTGCATATGCGATAATTTAAAATTTTATACTTATAAAATTTGTTTATTCTTTTAAGAAAATATGTGGTGAATTTTGAGTGGCTCTAATAAAAAAAAATTTTATTACAATGTATTTATTATAATTTTAAGAAATAATAAATCATTAAAAAAATCAAGTTTCTTATTTCTCTGATGGTGTAAAGACGGTCGAGAAGTCATATAGTGTTCAAGTAATTTTTTTCGTAATAGTGTGCTTCCTCATTCCCTTCTACCCAAAAATCAAATACATAATCGGCCCCCTCCAAAATGAAAACCTTTATATGCCACTATATGAATTTGTTATCAAGAGGCATCTTGATGTATAAGAACAGACTATTACGTGCAATGTTCAGAATTCTGCATTGTTAATGGTATTGCATTTTTAATTGCGTACTTAGTTTTTCGCAACAAATATGGTAAGTTGTTTCTTAGATTTTCGTCCCATACTTTCAAGGCTGTTCCACAGTAACACATGGTGAATGTATGTGATCAGGGCCAGCGAAAGCTATGGGCGACCTGGGCGATTGCCCAGGGCGCCAGCATGAAAGGGGCGCCAAACTGAAAATTATTTTCATCTAATTTATCTTTTAATACGCATTAACGATCTACAGGAAGTAAAAATATAACAGTTGTACTTTATACTTCATATAGGTTACTGCATCCATACAGCGCTGGTTTTGATGTAAAAATAATGTATGGAAACATACCACCGCATTTGTCTGTGTACATAAATAGATGGTAGCAATATTTATTTTCATAAAATATTTACCCGTTTACAAATAAATTTATATAACTAGATGATTACGTAAAAAACGCGGTGGTAAAACTGTTTGAACCTTACGGCGAAAATACCGCGGAGTGTGGCGTAAATCAAAAAGACACAGTTGCACATATACACGCATAATTTATTATTTTCGACGAGCGCTCACTACGTACGATCTACTGTGTAATGTCAAATGTTTAAACTAACAAGTTACCGTTATCAGGTAATCAATATACATATTTTTTGTTTAGTTAATTTTTACATAATATTTTTGTTCCTTATTAGTTATTTATAATGAACTCCGTTCTTTGGTTGTCTTAATAAATGATTTGTTAGTGAAACATAGTATTCCTATATTGTAGGCAGTGGCGGCGTGAAATAATATAATGCCCAACAAAACAACTAAAAAAGTAAAAAACGCCAAGCTCAAAATTAAAACTATTATATTTTTGCAACGAAAAAACAAAAACCTGTTCAAAAATGCGTTGATATAATACTAAGTTATTATACTAAATATTTACTAATTTTATTTAAATTCACTAAAAAACTTTATTTTACTACTACTCAAACTAAATGGGTATGAAGGGGGGGGGGGGGAGTTCAAGGGTGCCAATACTTCTAGCGCCGGCCCTGTATGTGAATACGCCACAACAAACGTCTGATAAACGAAGACGTTTACGTTTCTATTCAGTAACAATTCACGTGAATCATAGCCGTAGATAGATGTGCTCAATGCAAGGGCGTACCCAAGGGGGGGGTTTTCGGGTTCGGACCCACCCATTGAAACTTCTACATACTCAACAATTTAATAGTAAATAGTATAATAATAGTATATAGTGTATTTTAATTTCCCATCATCAGATAAAATAAAAATTTTGGACGCCCCCCTCCATAAAAAATATCTGGGTACGCTTCTGGCTCAGTGTGCTCAGGTGGTGTTGAAATGCGTTCTCGTACACGAAGGAAATTTCATCGATGTTCTGTTAGTCAGGTTGGTTACGTTTAACTGTGTGAATCGACTGCGTGGCCGTGGTCTAGGCACATGTTCAAACACATTATCATAATCGTAGACCACGTTCAGATAATTATTAACGGCCTCGTCTAATCCCGTAATTACGTAGATCAGTGTTCACGTCATGCGACGCGAAAACGGCCTTGTTACGGTGGTTGACAGTGCACACTCTTTGCGCTATTCAAATCGTACGAATGTCGTCCAGGACACAAAACATTAAGGAATACGGCATTAGACATAGCGTTACCTACTCCGAGGTCCGCACCACGCGACGGTGTCATTTGTTGACTCCTCTTATTGTTCCGGTTGTATTGACGATGCGTAAAAGTTTTAAACCAACACGAGTATCTTCTCCCGACTGTCGATGCAGGACTTACGTTTTCGGAGATTTCATCGGAAGCCGATCTGCGGTCGATGGGTCGGTCGGTCGGCAGCGGAGTTTACGTTGAAAATCGCATGGTCGTATGGGGTTCCGTCATGCAACTTCCGTGTCGCCGTCGAGATTTTCTCGCTCAACAATTATTTACATCGATAAACTGTGCGAACCGTCCGTTATAATCGGGGGTGATAAACGTGTCTCTATTGGACGGGAGGATAAAATATTATTTTCTTAACGAATTAATCCTTTCCCGTCGAACTTATTAACGGTGCTGCAGATACTGTACGCTTTAGCGTAAAGTTATCGAACCGAAATAATTGCAGCACACCCGCTCACTCTTCGCAGCAGAATCTTCAATTACTATCCGTCCGTAACACGGTGTGCGAAATATCTCTCGTTTCACCGACGCGTATACACTGCTGTCGTATTGCGGAGATGCAGGTCCAGTCTTTTTACATTTAAATAATTTGATTTCCATGACGTTTCGAGTTCATCCGCATTACTGCTATGTTGTCGTAGTGCACTTCCTTTTACATCCGCTAACGAAGTATAACGATGTTAAAAATGTTGCGATGGCAATAGTACCTTAAAAAAGTATCTTTATAAAAAAAAAAAAAAATTAAAATAAAACATATTTTTTATTCGTGAAACAATATAAGTCGCAGGTCGCTGTTGTATATAGCTGATAAAATAAATATTATTGTACATCTACGTTGCTCGCGCTGACACAGTGTCACGAACATGCAACACATGACTGTTACACGTTTCACACAGGTTTTTTCGAATTGTATCGAATTAGGGTAGCTGCTCGTTTTTCTTCCATTTCATGCTCACGTAGTTATTATCATTCGTTCATTCTGTCGTTATATTATGCAGAGAAATATGTACCGTCGATAGTAATTTTGGTCTTGGACCGGTGCAAGTTAACATTTTTTCAACGGACGCATCGACGTAAATCAGACGCGAGGTTTATTTCTTTACTTGTTATTATTTAACGGATTTTATTTTTTTTTTCCTGCGATCCATTCGGTCCATTGAAACTGAATTTCGCGGAACCCGCACCGGTAGTGAACATATTCAATTTCCGCGTTCACATTTAAACAGGTGATCGAAACGGTTTACCATCTATGCGTGTAATTTATTTTGGTTTCAAACAAAATATTACATAAAGTATACACACATTATGATTACACAAATATAGTAAAAATGTTCTCGGATCGTATCGTGTTATCGATCGTTTTACAAAATCGGATAGTTTGAACTAACCTATAGTATAAATGTTTATATATGCGAGTATATATACATGTTTATACGTTGTAACGTAGTAACGAATATTGTTTGGATTTTTCGTTGATATTTAAAAAAAAAAAACGCACAATGTACAAAGTACATTGTAATAACGTACACAATGCGAATCGTTTCTTCTCGGTGAACATGCAGTAACGATCGGACGAACGGAACCAAAGCGATATCTTAACAAGCGGTCGACTCCCACGGACCCCCCACCCTCAATACTCCATCCACCGATACACCAAACGTTCGTAACACTGTTAAAAATTTAAATAATCAACTAGAGGAGGCCGTGCGTTCGTTTTTGTTTTTTTTTTTCTTTCTCTAACGGTTTTCGCGATTTCGCGTGTGCTTGTTGCATGACATGTGGTACCGCCGTACGCGCGCAGACGACTGGCCGCCGAGGAGGACGACGAGCTGTCCGAGGTGCAACCGGACGCGGTACCGCAAGAAGTCAGGGACTGGCTGGCATCCACGTTCACCAGGCAAATGGCGTGCACGAGGCGCAAGGGCGACGACAAACCCAAGTTCAAGTCGGTCGCGCACGCCATCCGGGCCGGCATCTTCGTGGACCGCATGTACCGGCGCGTCATCAACGCGCCACTGATGACGTTCCCGTCCGACGTGGTCAAAGTACTCAAGGTACGTGCACCGAACGCGCATTTCTTCCGTCCGCTTTAAGCGCTAAACCAATTTCCGCCTTTTGATATAAATAAATATTTTCTAGTCCAAAAAATGTTGTTTCCTTTATTACTTAAAATTTTTATGATGTGAAATAAAAATGTATTCGTATGAAAAACTTCATTACAAAAATATGATATGAAATATAATGATTAAAAACCCGGTAATAAAACTAGATTAACTAGTTCGTTTTTAAATTATATTCAAAATTAAATAGTACCCTTCGGCTTTAATAAAATAAAATATTTTATAATTAATTGCATTTATTTTAGTTCTAAATACAAATAATAAAAATTTAATTTTAAAAATTATTTGCCGCCCTAAACACTAGCTTACAGTGTTTACTGGGATATATGGCACTGGATCCACGTACACTCGTGACGTGACGATAGAAATACTTTTCCGATCCACTGGACGGTCGAAATACCGTCCGTAGCGTAGTATTGGATTTATCTAATCTCGATCCGCGTGTAGGTTTAACATGCATCGAACCACGATAAACGTCCAACAGATTTTAAAGTAGTTAAAATTAAAAGTTTAATTCGCCGTTATTGTCTTGCGATTGGAGAACGATATCATAGTACTACGACACCAGTAAGAAAAAAGACAGGTCTTAAAATCTATGCGCAACTAACCAAATAATTCGTGTGAATACAAAATGTTCATTATAATATATGCTGGACCACGTGTAAATAAAACTCGTTAGACTATTACTGTTTTCGAAACGGAGTTAGTATTTTGGCTGTCGAACGATTGAGCACGTTTTACCTTTTCAACCGAACGATTGAAAACACTTAAAATTAACACAAAGAACTTACCACTATGACCCAAAAAACTTCCAAAAATAAATACGATTGAGAGCGAATTTACGTGCAACATTACCATATAATTTGTCATTTAACAAATATTCTTGAAAAAAGTCTTATGTAAAACAAATATGTTTAAAAAAATGTAAAAAATATTGAATTATAAAAATATGTAACAAATATGTAATGACTAAAGACCGGTTTTATATTCTCTTAAAATATCTCAAATATGATGCTAATATTCTCTAAAAAACCTTCAAATATTCTTATTGTATTCTCTTAAAAATCTTAAAAATATATAAAAATATTCGAATTGTTCAAAAATAATCAACAAACATCAATACATGGTTTAATATGCATTTTTAATTTTTTTTTTTTTTTACAACGTTCTTTTAATCATGAGGTATATACGTAGTTGCATATTATACTAGAATACTATTGTACTTCAGTAAGAGTAGGAATATAATAAAAATATTACTGTATAATCTATAACAGGGGTCGCCAACGTTTTCAAACAAGTGAGCTACATTTGACATTTAAGTCCCTAGTGATTGACATCCAGGAAAATTTAGGTCTTAAATCTTTAAATCTAATATTTCCATTATCCAATTAATCTGATTATTTTACGCGATCGATCAACAGTGGTAAAATTAAATTTTACAACGATCGATTGGCTGGCGATCCCTGATCTATAGTATTAAAATTTAAAAACAATATTCCTTTGGTATACCTATTTGAATTAAATGTTGTATTAAAACTATTGTCACAATATTAAAAAATAACAAATAATCATATATATATATATTAAAATATAATAAAACAAAAAAAAATTGGTTAACAAAAAATAATTCTTAAATAATAATAATTTAATACAAGATATAAAATAACAATATATATATGTATGTATAAAAAAAAACTATTTCTTTGGTGCATACAACGGTAAATATTTACTTTCTGAAGAATAAAAAATAAACCTGAAAAACTATTTAAATTTTATTATATGAATAAACAATAATATATTTTACATATTAACTGTACTCATGTTAGTTTTTCTATCGCTTAAAATTTATTTATAGAAACTAAATGAACATTCAACATCAACAGATATTGAAGGTGCAAACTTCATGTCAACAACTAAATTAGGTGTAAAGTATTTTGGGATAACAATATTCATTGTTTCCAAATAAAATGTTCCCAACTTTTACTAACATTTGGTAACCTTTATTTTTTTAACATAATTGAGACACTTTAAAATTTTTATTGTGTTACCCGTTTCACCTGGTATATTGGTTAGTTTACAGATAACAGTTTGTACAATCTCCAACTATGAAACAAATCTCAAATATTCTAAAATATGCTAAATGGGCTAAATATTCTCTAACCTATGATATATTCTCAAATATGCAAAAAAAACTTTTTTCTATAAACTCAGAATTTAATGAATCGTCCACATTTTTTACTCTCATACAACTGCATAGACCAAGTAATGATATATAAAAACATATAAATCCGGTCTTTACTAATGACAAATAAGTTATCAATAAATTAGTTATAGCGGGATATCGTAATCCAATATACTCTAAATATTTTTTGTGTCCTAACGTTTTCGAATAAAACGATATTTATTATTACCTAATAAAACTTAATCTTCACCTCGTATAATTTTTATTTCATTATTTTCCATTATTCAATGAATAGGAATATGCTACGTAATATATTTTATAAACTAACGAATACTTCGTTGACGTTTGTGCGACGACTATAATGCCTATAGATATCTCGTATAGGTGTATGAAGTTACTAATAACATCCGGTTAATCCGATAAACGTCCGATAAATATCAATCGTTCAGCCAAAAGGTAGAACGTTCTTAATTGTATCATAGCTGCATACTGTACTCAAATTATCATTCGATTAAATTTGGCTGCTGGAAAAAAAAAATTAAATATCGAGCGTTCTCAATCGTGTTACCAAAAATAACATTCTCAATTGTATTTTACCGAGTATTTTAGGGGTTGGTTTTTTACCCGACGAGGAAAGTCAAACATTAAGTGAATCATATTTGACGGTGTATTATCTAAATAGAGAATTATTATTCATTGTATATTTGTTTTTTATTGTTATTGACTCGTTGACGCACTATTTTCAAATAACGATCCGGATAAATGTAAAAAAGTCTTATTGAAACACAACCGTAGCCGCATTATTATTATTAATATTATTAATGAATATTATTCGATTACGGGAGAACCGATATAGCAAATGAGTGAAATCAGAATTGAAAATCCCTTCGATTTCGAGTACCACGAGAATCCTAACGCGGTTAGGCAATTTGCACGCGTTCAACTTCGTTGTGATATTGTAATCGCTCGTCGTCTTACATTTTATCGCTATCAAACGAGTCAAACGAGTCGGTCACTTAAAGAAAACAATACCAATTATTATCGAGCAAGTACACCGGGGAGCATTCGTCGACAACCGCCTCCGTAAAAATGTTTCACGTACGAGACTCGGCGGTATGCATTATAATCTTTAACTCTGAACCATAAACCTCGTACGACGTTGATATAATGGTGTGTATATAATACGTGCCAACACAAATACGTCCGTTGTACATTTACACCATAATTGCACGCAGCGTCGGCACGATTTACGGGTGGGTGTGTTTTGTGTGATAATTTTTATTCTTATATATATATACGTACGTGCGAATATCGAAAAAAACGTTGTTCGCACGACGCAGATGAGGTGGCCAACTCGAATCTCCAAAAGGACATACCTACTCATAATAATGTTATCGATCACTCGCCCGATCAGGTTAGGCTTTTTGGAAAAAAATAACCAACGTCTTGACGATCTGCAAGAACAACGTACAATAATTACTACATTGTATAACGGGTACTGTTATTGAAGCTGTAAATGCTAAAAGAAGCTAAAATCAAAACTCTAGAAAATGACAACCGGCTCCGAAAAGTCAAAACGTCTTTGAGACGATTGCCTTTTAATTCAACGCAACTGTAACTCGTAAATAACCTACGGTTCAGTTATCTAGTATTTCTCCGGATATCCTAGTCGCAATGCTTGATCGGACGAACAATATGTAAACACACAAGGCCGTATCTAGGGGGGTCCAGGGTGTCTAGACCCCCCCCTTCCGAAATGTTTTCAATATTTTACGAATGTTAAAATACTTATTTATTTTTAATAACAACATAAATATTTTCAGTCGAAATTGACTTAAGCTCCAATCAATCATTGACTGCTTTTAATTTTATATCATAATATCATATTAATTTTAATAAAAGAAGATTAAATCTTTTTCTGTATTATTTTTAACCAAATATCAAAAGTTGAAATCTAAATTCAATAAAATTACAATATACATATTTTGGACCCCTCTCGAAAAAAATTTCTAGATACGGTCTTGTAAACACATAAATATCAAAAAAATTATAATTTAACATGTAATGATTTATTTCGTTTACGATGATGATATTAATAAAAGGTATAATTACAATAAAAACTAAAATAATTAAAGCCCTTAAGTAATATGCGTATATAGTTATCGTTAAGTTATAAATTAGCAAACCTAATACAAGTTCTATCAATAATATTCGTAAAATCTGTTTGAACGATCCATGTTCCCAGGAGTAAATACGTAAGGCTTACAAAAAAATGTTTGGTAATTTTAACATATCTGTTATCTAAATCGATTTGTTTTTATTTACATATAAAATAAACATAATATTGTACTTTGCGTGATTTATGAAATATAATTTTCAATTTAATAATAATAGGACTATCAAAATAAGCGAGTATAAACATTACTCACTCTGAACTTAATTTTTGATTTTTTTGATTTTTTAAAATTTCACCTGCCTTATTATATATATATATATTATCCTAAACTCCTGAATATCTTTTAAATGTTTATCCAAATTTTTTACATTGTTAAACATTTTTTTATTGTTATTCAAATAATTTAAAAAATATATATAAAAATATACAGCATTTAATAAATATTCTAAATTGATTATAGCTAAAAAAAATACTAATTTTAACATATTTTTGAAACTTATAATATCATGCAAGCCTATAAGTATTTTTAACAATCAAAAAATATACATAAATTAAATGTATAACTGAAAATATATGTATTGAAAAAAAAAAAGATGTTTGTTTACAAACATTATAAATCATACTAAGTTTACTAAAAATTGACAATGCAACTATTAATTTACTAAAAGCAATTTATTTTTTAGAACCTCAATGACTGGTCATTCAACGTGTACAATCTGAGTAATTATGGAAGTGGACAACCTATCAAATACTTGGGATATGACTTGCTCAATCGTTATGGAATATTTCAAAAATTTAAAGTAAGTATTTTATAATTTGGTTTTGGCGTTATTTGTATTTTTTTCACTTCTAAAATTTTCACCAATATAATGTCACTTATTATAGTAGTCTATAAATACATTATTTGTACTATACATTCTAGTTTTATACGATATAAAAATATAATTTTTTTTTAAAAATTTATTAACAATCAGTTAGTTCAGTTCTTTAACGAATCTTTAGATATTAGAATTTAATTTCCATTAGTTTTAAATTCTATGTGAAATAGAGGAATATATTAGTTTATAATGATGTGGTTTTTTTCCTATCTGTGTACATAATTTCATCTAGAAGAATTGCTCCGATAAAAATAATTATTGTTATTACAATAAATCAATCATCACAATCTCAAAAGATTTCTGCTAGGAAATATTGACTAATAAGTACTTTGATGAGGGTCATTTTACGAATCTCCAATCAATGTTCTTAAAAATTGTGAAACACAAATGAAAAGTTATTCGAAAATGGCAAATCAACAGCATAATAATTTTTGATAAAAATCAAATGTTTTTTTTTATCATAATTATAAAAGTAATAATCACCGTTCACTATAGATGATATAATTTTCAAAGATTTTTTATGCTAACTATAGATATTTGACATTTTTATATTTTTCTAAATTTAAATTTTTAAATGTTGAAAATATCGATAAAATAATATTTGAAATGTCTAAATTTGATTGAAACAAAGTAGCCTTGAGTGGTTTATATATAGATTGATAAAATGAGAGGGGTTTAGTCATTTATTTGGGTTAGGAGGATTGATGTAGATTGGATATTTTTTTTTAATGTGACTGGTTGATGTACTATGTTGTGACGGACTAATACTGCACTGCTACCACAGCCTGAGGCGTTTGATAGAATTAATTCGTTTCTGTATATTAAGTAGTTTGAGAATTTGGTTTGGTTTAAGATGAGTTTCATTTTTAAGAATGATGTCGAAATTTATTTTTGATAATAATGCACTAAGTTCATTGATTTTATTTAGTATGCTCACCATACGATAATAATAATAATATTTAGTATGCCATTAGTGTTCCAGTGTACGATTTTTAGGCTGAGATGCATTGTTGGTTTCTGAAGAAGGAAATGAAGGACTTGATTGTAGTTATTATTGTTTCTTTGGGGTTGTTTGTCGATATTATTACCGAGAGAAGATCAGTGAAAAGAGTTAAGATGTGTTGATTCCTTAAAAGTGGTTTCGATTTGGAGGCTGAGGCGTAGTCCATTGTCGTAGGGTTTAGATTTTCTACTTGAGTGGTAGGAGGGAGTTTGAATCGATGCTATGGAATGAGTAGTTTTAGTAATTTTAGTTTGCGTAAGGTATGAGCATCCTCAATAATTGGCAATATGATGGTTGCTTCTGCAATTGCAACCGATTTTCAGAACACGTCTGCATTGTGTGCATTTGTGAATGCCACTCTTATTTATCCCCGTTCTTGTCTTGTCGGTTATTTATGATTGTTGCATTTGTTTATTTTGCAATGTAAAATATTACCTTCTGCATGTGGTTTATATTATTCTTGGTGCTATTTTATATCACCATTTCTTTTTTATGTGGTGGCCCTGAGAAGATCCGTTTTCCATGGTCCGTTATTCTGTATGTACCGTAACGTACTATATTTGTATTGTCGCATTGTTATCAACACATTTTCATTTCAACATAAAATACTAAAACATATTCGTATTTATCTTGAACGACTTATTTATTTCCACTTGACAGTTTATTGGAATACAGTTAAAGAAGATATTCAGTTTGAAAGTTTTAATTTATGGGCTTATTTCATTCGTAACATAAGACACCCCAAAATTGCGTTTCAATTGTAAAAAGTTGTGGTTATCTTGAAATTAAAACATCCATGTCCTAATTATCGTGTTTGATCAAAAATAATCATAATTTTATTCAAAGTTATATAGATAATTTTAAAAATTATGTGCAAAATTTAATACCTAGTGTGAAATAATACATTGTCTTTTTATTAGGTACCGTCGGTAGTGATGGAGAATTTTCTGTCCAGAATTGAAGAAGGCTATTCAAGACATAAGAATCCGTATCACAACAATTTACATGGTGCTGATGTTGCACAAACAGTGCATTATATGCTCTGTCAGACTGGACTAATGGTAACAAATTCGCTTGGTTATTACTTAAAACCAGTTGAATCTGAATTAGAATATTGATCTTCAAAAATGTATATTTTCCCCCTTACTCAAATTCTATTTATTCTTTTTCGTATGAATTAATGCAATTTATTCGTCAAGAATATTTATAAAAAATATATATAACAAACTGCAGTAAATCATACTTTACAAAGAATCTCTGTAACATAATTAAAATTATATTGTTATATTGTTTTACCTAATCGCTGTTTAAAAAACAGTGTTCGCGGTATTATCAATAATCAAAAATCTTATATGTTATCATTGATACATTCAAAATAAATTTTAGTTATGCTAAAAAAATATGTTTTTAAATTATGAATTTAAAGTGAACGATTATCGTTGAAAAATTTTTTTACTTATTTACCTTATTGAAAATGTCATAGATTAAATTTGAACAATAAAACTTTTGAATAACAATAACTTCTTGTATTTAAATAAAACATTAATTCTATTTTTATTTTTCATTCACATATAATGCAAAATAAGAAAAACAAGTATAAGACCTACCATATCTAAAAAGTCACTTACAATAAAATGTATAAAAACTTTTGTAGAATACACCTACTATAAAAATAATATTTTTGTTATATAAATTTTAATTATTTATAAAATAAATAAAATACATTATAACCGTCAAAGTTTCTGTAGTAAAATTAATTGTTTTAATATGAGTAAACTTTAGGCATATTCATTTTATTTACTAGAACTTTATTTAATATCAAACTATAATTGAAAAAAAATCTCTACAAATTAATATTTAACTTAATATTTGATATAATTTGTTTTTTCTTTTGTATTGATATCATATGTCTTTCTAATTTACATATTCTTATTGAAATAATTTTACCTACTGAAGAACGACAAACTAAGACTAGTTTTTAGTTCAATTAATTACATCAAAATTAGAATTATTACAATATAATAACTGTTTTACAATAAATTAAAAATTATCAATGAATATCTCTTGAATAGTTTAGATATCTTAAACTAACATTAAAATCTGATTAGATCTTATTCTATTAGATTTATATCTCAATTAAAATAATAATAATACCGGAGAAAATGCTTGGCTTTCGTTAATCAATCATTGTCGTCAAAAATAATTAATTTATATAGGAATAAATAATTTATTTTCCAGTAGAAGAAAAATCAAAAACCTAGTATCATTCTTGACGAAAATATTTTTTAATCATTTAAGGTTTCAACTTTAAAGTTTCGAAAATCTTTATATTTTATCAAATTCCTACAATCTAACATGTTCTTTTACCTCCACTATTTTGATGTACTTAACAGAAGTGCATTAAAGTACTTATTATGACGTGAAATATTTTTTTTTTTTATTCTAGAATTGGTTGAATGATTTGGAAATATTCGCAATGTTAATAGCTGCTATTACACATGACTTTGAACACACTGGAACAACAAATAATTTTCATGTTATGTCTGGAACAGAAATCGCTTTATTATATAACGATCGTGCTGTGCTGGAAAATTATCACATCAGTTCCACGTTCAGGTTAGTTTTATGCGTTATAGTAAAAAAATACACATGTTCAATTGAATTATAAAATTTAATTTCATTCTCATACAGTTATGCATTTATACATTATAGTTATTAAAAATCATTTTCAATAAAATTAGATTTTTTTTACATTACTTCACTGAAAAACTATGTATACTATATAATTTCAGTTGTTTTTAAATAGAGTCAGAACACGCCTCTAGTCTAACTGTCAAACGTACTGACGACAGAAATAATTCAATAAACATAAATATGAAAACGTAGATTCAAATGGCTCAGCATTTGCCAATACTAAATACACCAAATTATCTTTTTCGTACGAGTTATATTCTATTTATAATTTATGTGATGTTCTCAAAACCATTAGAATAAAAAAAAACCAAATAGAAAACGAAATAATATTGAAATATAAATAAAGAACTCAACTAACATTTTTTTTTCAACGTTAAATTATTTTCAGTGTACAACCGTTAACACAAAAACCAATAATACTCGTATAATAATTATGAATATATAGTGAATTATATCGAAAATATGTTGTCACGTAAACATACCCATGAATGCATTTGTTTTTTTTTTTTTTTAACCGATATACAATTTTAAAAGCATGATTTGAATATTTCTAGAATTTTAAAAGACGAAGACTGTAACATATTGCAAAATCTTTCCAAAGAAGAATATCGTGAATTCCGAACTTTGGTCATAGACATGGTATTGGCGACCGACATGAGTTTTCATTTCCAACAACTGAAGACAATGAAGACACTGATAGCATCACCAGAACCCACGTAAGTGTATTTATTTGAGTTTAAAGATATACATCGATGTACAATAAGTGTTTTGAAACCATCATTATTATTTCTATACCGAATAAAACTTTATATATCATACATGTCCCAAAGTAATATTAGGTGTGCACGTCGGCTGACCAACAGACTTTGCGCAATTTTTATTTCATCATTCCAAGACCTATAAACTGTAGGAATATTTGTACGGGAGGAACCGAGAAATCGGTGCTCCCTCAAGTGTTTTGTTGTTAAAACTAATTAAAACTATAGGAACATACTGTGATATACGATTTCTACCGGTAGAAAAACTACTTTATTGATATCAATTCGAATACCCGTTGGTTTTTTTGCTAAGCCGTTAAGTATTATAACATCTAAACGGTTTAGATTTTGGTTACAAATCGGTGACCACTTGTCCGATTCGCGGTCTTTGTACACAGGTAAATCGTGCAAAAATCCTAATACGGTGATGCGCAGGTTAACGGTAAATACTTACAATGCAGATCAAGGCTTGGAACCTTTATGATTTTTTCGGTTTTGATTCCAATTAGGTTCTTTGAAAAAAAAAATTCGGTACCGGTTTCGGTTCTAGTTTCATAAAAATTACAGAATTAAGGTTCTGGTTCTGGTACCGGTTAATACCGGTATTTAAATGGTTATTTTTTCAAAAATCATTAAAAAAATCTCTTATGAACAGCATACATATTATCTAAAATTATAAAATCAAATTATAGCAGTCTTACTAGATTAAAGGGTTTACCTAATTAGTTTAATATTTTGTTTTAAAAACATCCAAAACAAATTTTAAAAAAAAAGGATTAACTCGTGTTGCATGGAGTATTATTACTAACATATGACAAAATTGAATTGTATGTTCATACCTATTTGTTATTATTATTTGTAATACTAATAATAATAAATTATTACTGGGTACTGAATTATAAGACATATAGGAGCATTATCTGATTTTTCTTGGAACGTAACGGCATGACGAAACGGTAATATTTGATATGAGTGGTAGCGGTAAAGAGGTCCTTCTTACGTACTTGCATGCACATATCAATGAACAAATGCATTCTGACAAATAACTCTAATTCTCACAAAATATACGAGGGATCAATCGAATTATCAATTCAATAGAATGTTTATAAATATTATTAGTCCATGATAATAATTTATATATTATACGGGTGCGTATTTTGATCGTAATAATATTTTTTTTTTTTTATTTATCATTATACAACATTACCAGACGTCATCGTCCAAAACTATTTATAAATTATGAATTATAAAAAAATAATCATAATGACGGTTTTTACAAACCAACAGCGACATGCAAATAATATTCAACTATCATTATTTATTAGCTAAATATATAAAATAGAAATAGAACTGGAATCGAAAAATTATCTTCAGACAAATATCGGTTCCGGTTCACGTTCAGGTTCCTAAGAAAATCAGAAAACGGTTTTGATAAGGTTCCGGTTCCAGTTAAAATACCGGTATTTTTAATTTCGGCTTCAAGCCCTGATGTAGACACGGGCTTTATTTAAATTAATAGGTACCAACTAGAAAACCACGATAACAACGAAAACTCTTAATATTTTGTACTCTTTCTTTAGGATTACATGAGTTTCATACTACTCTCATTTTTATCCGATTCATTGCAATTTTTCAGGATCGACAAGTCCAAAGCTATGTCGATGGTGTTGCACTGTGCGGATATATCACATCCTGCTAAACAATGGGATCTACACTATAGATGGACATGTCAACTATTGGAGGAGTTCTTTTTACAAGGCGATATGGAAAAGAAATTAGGGCTCCCGTTTAGTCCGTTATGCGACAGAAATAATACGTTGATTGCTGAGTCTCAAATTGGTTTGTTTTTTCTATATTAGATACACGTACTATGGTATGCATGTTTTACTTTTCAAATACTTATCACCAGTTAAACGCGAACGTTTTACATTGAAAAACTTAATTTTATATGTACCCACCAAAACCATTTTATCAGATAAAATAATCACTTTATGAATTGTTAAAAATTATGATATGTCTTCATAAAAAGGTTAAATATACCTTACAAATACTATTGCATTTACGTTATTTTTTTTTTTTTTTTAGAACTTTCAGTATATTATTATTACAAAAATTACAATAAACAATTTAAATAGAATTTAAGTTAGCATATTCGTATATAAACACAATCCAATTAAAAATTAAAATAACAAATAATAGTGAACAGATACAATATTAATAGGTTAGGTAAACAAAGTACAATAATATATAATGGATCGAAATCAATTAGAATAAATAGATATAGATTGCGTATACAACAATTAAAATTATTGTAATATTGTTAATGAGGTAGTAAAAAATGGACTATGGAATAAGTTGTTTGCTTAGAACAGCTGTAAGGAGCGTAATTAGAGAATTAATTAATGAGGAAAATACAGAAATAAATTTTGCCAACGACATATCGCTAGTGTGGCTATTAGGTAATGGGATAGTATTGAAATCGACAACGAAGGCAAAAGAAACTTTGGGAAGGTGAGGAGGGGGAGTTTTAGGTTGATGAGACGAGAGTCAGTGTTGCCATTCTACTATTTTATTGCTAGTTCTAGCATTTTTCAAGGGTCGTCTAACTATCAAAAAGGTCGTTTTGATACTGGCTTTAAAGATAGCATTATTCATTAAATGGTTTTGCTTATTTAGCATTTTTATGTAACTTTTTGTCCCGTTGCGATTTATATAAATAATTAAATTAAATTAAATTAATTTTTTTTTTTATTATTACTAACAGATCAGTATAAAAATTAAATAATAAATCGTATCAATTCGTTTACGATAGACAAAATCTCGTATTTATAGATAGGTAATTGATAGACTAATACCATAATTTATTCTGTGCTAATACCTAGGTATTCAAACCACAGAGTAGCTCTATGGTTCAATCCCGAGGGGCACGAAACTAGATAGTTAATTGTAGATACTAGATATAGTATATTAGTTATTACTAATAACTTATAATAATATTACTAATACTAATAACTTATTAGTAACCAAAGCCGTGGGCATAATCAATGCGTTAAAACTACATTTTTATTATTTTCATTATTTACTTATTCACTATATCGAAGACCGCATATCAAGTATATTATTTTTATAATTAAGACTTAATTCGAAACCTATCAAGAATATGGAGAAAGTTCAATATCCTCAAAAATTTAAATATGACTGGCTTCTTGACAATCTTTTCAAAGATTGGTTGGTAAAAAACGACGATACGTCTAAAGGAAGATACAAGTTTTGCAAATGTGATGTCAATGCAAAACGGTTTGATTTAATTCAGCATGCAAAGACAAAAAAACACATTATATCTTCAAAAGACTTTTCTTTATCTAGAACCATATCCAACTATGTAGAACCTACATCAGTCAAAACAGCTTGTGCAGAAGGTACATTATGCTTATATATTGCTGCTCACTACTTTATATCTACTTAGTTGTGACCACATTGGCGTCTTTATGTAAATCTCAGTTCAATGAATCAGAAGCTGGCAAAGAGATAAAAATACTCAAAAATAAATGCACATGTATAATATGTAATTCGTTAGCACCACACTTTGAGAAAAGTTTAATAAATGAAATTGGTAATCAGCCATTCAGATTGTTAATTGACGAATCTACGGATATCAGCGTTTTGAAATTTTTGGGTATAAGTATTACGTATTTTAACCAAGATAAGGGTAAAATAGTTTCTACTTACTTATCTCTGGTTCAACTAGAAGCTGGTGATGCTGATGCAATCACTCATGTAGTCCTAACCACTTTAAAGAAGAAAAATTTTAATGTAAAATTATGGTTGGTTTAGAGTGTGATAATACATCAGTTATGATGGGCATCAATAATGGTGTGTATGAAAAAATATTATCTGAAGTCCTTACATTAACACCCATACCATGTGTATGTCATTCACTTCAACTAGCTGTTTCAGCAGTAACTAATGAAACCCTTCCCAGAAATATTGAATACCTCATAAAGGAAATATACAATTGGTTTGCACATTCAACGTTGCGCCAAGCTGAATATAAGAACTTATACAAGGCAATCAATGACAATCACAGCCCATTAAAAATTAAGTCTTGCAATACCAGATGGTTGCCTATTGAGACCGCTGTAATTCGTATTATAAACCAATGGGTTGAACTAAAAACACTGTTCAGTATTACTAGGAATAAAGAGAAGTGTTACAATGCTGAGATTTTATATCAAACGTACAATGACAATAATAATTTTGCATACCTCACATTTTTACACCCAATATTGTCAGAGATTTAGTTGATTAATAAATCATTTGAATCTAGTAGTGCTAATCCCAGTAAATTGCTAAGCGATTTATCTTTGTTGTTGCATTCAATTGCAAACCGTTTTATCAATCCTCATTGCCAGCTAGACCAACTGACTAATAACTTGGACAACTATGTTGTACCAGTAATGTATTTTAGTCAATAATTTTTAGATCTAGTAAAAGATAGTTATGAGAAAGATATATTGAAAAATAGATGTTTGCAATTTTTAAAAAGTTTTATTAAAACAATTTCAACAAAGATTACCAAAAAATATTCATATCTTAGAAAAAGTTTCTCTTATTTCAGTTAAAAATGCTTTAAATGTTATTAAAGATCTATTTTCATCCTTAACACAACTTTTAATGTATGAATAATCTATAGTTGATAATATAAATCAACAATAGAAAAATATTACCAATATTAAATGGCTAGAAACTTCCAATACCACAAAATTTTGGAAAGAAGTAAGCGATTATAGAGATGTTTCTGGTATAAATCCATTTTGTGAGCTGTGTGATCTCAGTCAACACATTCTTGTTCTTCCCTGGTCCAATGCAGATGTCGAGAGACTTTTCAGTCAAATGTATATTGTAAAGACTATGTTAAGGAATCGTATGGGACCGAAGTTATTGGATTCTATTTTAACTATCAAATAGTCTTAAGAGAAATTGCAAGTACTGTTTTGATTATGAGTTACCTGAAGATGTATTAAAAAATATTTCCAACTCAAATCATTATCCTGCAAAAGCAACTGAAAAAACTGACAAACAACTCGAAGATGCAGCTAATTTGATAGATTTAGATCAACCTATAATATTCTAAGTGAATTAAATATTACCTTAGTTTTTATTATTTTGTTATTTTATTATTTTATTATTTATTATTTAGTCAAGGTAGGTTGATTTCATAGTATACCTATGGTATATTTATTTTTTAAATTTAAAATGTTATTGTTAATATTTTAATATAATTGCCTATTATATTTATAAAGTAATAAATGATTTTTATTATAAATTTAAAAATTAGTTTATTGGTTAGATTAGGGATATGTTTAATAATATATAATATATAAATAAAATATATTATATTAATATTAAAACTTTCTAGCTTTTTTGGAAGAATTTTATCTAACATTATTATCTAGCATTTTTTTTATCACCTATTTACTTATTTTTGGTTTTACTTTATGGCAACACTGACGAGAGTACAGTATTCGAATTTTGCGGTCTTGAATGAAACGATTTGCTGAGTTTGAGAAGTGCTTAAATTATGGGTAGCCTCTGTAGTTGGAGGTATGATCGCCCATGCAAAGAGCGCATTTGGCTGGATTATCTTTGTACTTAGTGAAAGTGTCTATAGAGTGGTTGCACCCACACTTGACGCAGCATGGAGGATGTTGGCAATAGTTTGTTATGTGATCTTAGTTCTGGCAGTTTATACACTGGGGTGGACCACTGTTGGTCTTATAGGGTAGTTTTACTTTGATTTTGGTATGCAAAATTGAGGAAAAATTTAGAATATTTTTGTTGTTGGTGTTGGGTTTTAGTTACACGAGAAACAGCGGGCATGGGTTGCCGTTTTTGATAACGTTTGTGATTCGTCTGGTGGAGTGACCCAATTCTGAGAGTGCATTAGAAATATCCGAGATGAGTATTATGTAGTTCAGATTTCTTATTATAACCTTATATGATCGATATGTTGAGGGCATAAAGGTTTGAAAACGGGAATCGGTTTCCATTAGATTATTTACTATTACATTAAACATAAGACGACCATAAGGGCGAATGATTAAAAATGAAGACGTAAACTTACAGGTAAACCCGTCAGGGTCGGTTATTTGTACTAACGCATTTTTGAAAGCAGAGTAGTTGATAATGTTTTTAACATATATTAGCGGTGCTCTGGGGTTGTCCTGTTGAATTTTAGTAGTGATAGAATCGTCGATTATGTTTGAAGTAACACAAGAGGTGTCGATATTGATTTCGTTATCCTCTTCTTCGCCAGGACAGCAAATTTATTTCGCGATACGAATGATCTAGATTGTTTATGTTCTGTTTGGATTGGTGAATTTGGAGATGATAGTAGCGACTGTTTGGGTTTGGAAATTTTCGGAGAGGTTGACCAAAAAAAATAATGAAAACTCGAACAACGGAGAGGAGACCGTAATAGATTACATATTAATTAAATTATAACGCGATAACGGAACGAACAATCACATAACATGTGGCCGCGTTGCACGTCAACGATTGCATTTATGTTATTAATATAAATCAAAATGTTATAATAACAAATATCTTGAGATGTTGGCGGTATAACTAATATTAATTATTTTTATTTTTATTTTATGTATTCATTGTACTCATGCATGTTTCATTATAGAATTTTAAAATATATGGATTTTAAATGTGATAGAAAATAAATCATTTTTCCTTTTTATAATACAATTTTAATGGAATGTAAATAAATATGAACATAAAAATTTGGTTTTAATTTACCAAACTTTTATTTAAATTTTGTAAGAAACAGATTGTTTTTAATTACTAACGAAAAAATATATTTACAATATGATCAGTATACCAATAAGTAAATGAGATTATGGGTCATCTTTTTTTTCACTGGTAAATCCAGAAATAATTTAATATTACGAGTATATGGTATAGCAGTGGTGACCAAACTTTTTTTTTCTCGGGCCATAAAAGAACAACTTTTTTACCTTGGGTCATAAAAAAACAACTTTTTTTACTGTGGGCCGTAAAAAAATGTATTTTTCAATCTTTTTTTATGTAAATGTAAAACATTACAGTTATGCAAATAAGTGTTGTAATGTAGAATACTTTTGTGGGCCAGATATTTAATGATGGTGGGCCGTAGTTTGACCACCACTGTGGTATAGTATACAAGTTTATTTAGTAAGTATATATTTATTAGCCTGCCTACTTACCACTGACATAAAAATAATTTCAGTAAAATTATAAAATAAAAAATAAATTTTATTAGAAAATATGTTCAGTTATTCTTCCATATTCTTGAGAAAAATATACCAATTATCATTTCATCGACTTTTGTGATACAGCTTATTTATTGGTTAATATTTTAGAGAATTCCCACCATACTAATAATGTTGGTAATTTAAATTAATGTCTTTATTATCCACATCATTATGTGATTTTGATATTAGTACCTGTGTTGTAAAAAATGAAAATAATGAGATCTTTTAAATAGCTTGGATGATAACGAATTTTTTATACGTAAGTTTATAAAAGAGTTCCGAAAATTTAAATAAATTAGGTAAAAGGAAGAAAATGTCATCTATTTGATACTTTATAAAAACTAATAAAACTAATATTTTTTTTATTTTTTATTTTTTTTATTTTACAAGTATATACGCAATTTATACAAATGAATGCACAATAAGCATATTAAATAAAAGGCTATACATAACATAAATACAAAGCTACCTATTAGTGACACTTAGCTTGACATATGTTTACAATTTACGAGAGATATTTTTAATTTATATATGAAAACATCTTTAGAAGAAAATTTCATCAAATTATTTAAAATCGTTATATTTTGTACAACCTGATTTTTAATAATATCAAATTTTGTTAACTGTTTATTTCAATTTAAAATATAATATGCATAAATATTTTAAATGCATTCTTATTAAAAATATTTTAAGTTGGATTCAATCGTGTACCAAAATAGTACTGTGTTAAATAAAGAAGACTATTGATAATATTTTATTAATTTGTACCAATCCCCGTATTCGTGCTTTGCTTAATTTTAATAAGCAAGTTAATTAATAAAATAAAGAGATATTAACTAAAATCTATTACATTGTTTTATATACATATATATATATTTTTTTTTAGGGTTCATCGAGTTTATTGTCGAACCTAGCATGACCGTTTGCAGTGATATGTTGGAATTAATTTTGGGTCCAATCAATCTAGTTAATCCACCCAAAGAAGCATCAGTGAAATCAGTGACTGAAGAAGTCGTGGACACGAAGGAAGATGAATCACATCAGTCCGATGTAGCCATCGCATGCACGGCAATGAGTTGCAGAATTGAAGATACCAAGGACGCCAAAGAATCAATTTCGAAAAATTTAAATTTGCCAGTTGAAGAGACAAAAGAAAAAGGTAAAATTTATTAATTAATACATACAATTTCAAAATGATCGCATAACATATCTCTAATTTCTAATTAATATAGACGAGTCTAAATATTTAATACAAACTCTTTCATAATCTTGTTTTACATTATATTAAAATATATTTTTTATTGTTATGTATTCAAAAATCTATTCATTTCATGAACAATTTTTATAATTATTAAATATTAGTTATCTATTTATTTTACAGTTAATGGGACTTATATTTTATACTGTTTATTATTATAATATATTATAGGTATAAATATTTCATATTATTTGAGGTTATTTAAATAAAAGACAGTTGCAATAAAAACGTGATTTACTCATGTTGCTACCATTGTACTTATTACTAAACACAAATAAAAATTTACAAAGTATTAATTGGAAAAGTTCTTCTTTAACAATCGGACACATTTTAACAAATGATTATCATAAAAAAATATATTCTCGCCTTTATTTATGATAAAATGTGTTTACTTAATTTGTATCTCATTTTTATCTTTTAAAATATATATAATTTAAATATCTAGAATCTTTTTATGAATTGCGCATTTTATAATTATTCAGTCTTAACTCTGCGCACTTGTTACTCCTGTATAATACCATTTTTTTTAACGTTTCCGCCAAATTAGATAAGTACTATCAGAATTCACTATTCTATAATAATATTTGTTATATCCGTTAGCCGAGCAAAGCAAAATATAAAAATATTGAATTCGTGAAGTTTTGGATGTAGGTACCTAATGGTGTTGTTATTTGAATCGTCTTTTTTCCTTGCACTATAATTGATACACAAAATCATTGTTTTTCTCCGAACAAAAACGTATAGTCATGATGGTTCTCATTATGAACCTTTTTTAAAAGTGAAAACAATCAATCGTCCTTGGGTATGGGCTACTAAATTGCTGTCCTTCATAAATAATATAATGGCTTCATTTTAGTGACAAAAATAAAATAATACATTGTTTTTGCGGTTTTTCAGACAAGGAAATAAACGTCGAAAAAACGGAAAACAATAATAAGTTGTATAAAATAAAAAAGCCATGGAACGAGTGTTTGAATATAAACAAAATGAAATGGAAGCAACAAGCAGCAAGGGGTAAGTTATATAGCACCTACGGTTTTGTAGAATAATATATATATATTTTTTTTTTTTTTACTAAAACAACATGTATATATTTTAATAAACGTAAAATTGTTAACAAATGTACAGAAGCAAAACTGAGAGAAACGAAGACAAAGTACACAATGAGCGACATTAGAATGCCACTTCCTGGCGAAGTTTTACAAGACGAGGAAGCTTCATTTTCGGCGTTGCCGAGTGGTGAGAAAAAAGAATGAACCAATCGGATAATTTTTTTTTTCAACCGTTCGACGCGCGACCTGCCCTTTTCCCGTCACCACCGTGTGGTTTTTTTGTACTGAGATGCACATATAATGCGTTTACAAATACTCTTAATAATTATATATACATATATAAATATGTGTGTATGTATATAAACTCTCTGTAATTGTAAAAATGTTGCGATTTCAGACATAATAATTCTAAAAAAATTTTTTAAAGTAAATAATATTTTCATATGTTATATGAGCTCATGTTTAAATATCTTCTAAGAACGAGATGTACTAATAGACGACCATATGTCGCAAGTATTATGTTTTATACTGCAATCTTATAATTATTATTATTATTATTCGAATTATTTTATTTGTCTCGTAACGGCGTTTTTAAAGAGTCCAACAACATTACTAGTATTACCCTCAAGTATCAGCCATTTTTTTTCAGCAATCATGCTGTAGGCATCCTTCGCGTATTATTTTAATATGCACATAATATTGTTTCTAGGACGAAGGTGTATTCTCATCATAAGTGTTTAATGTAACTGTAACATATATTATTTATATGTTTAATAATATTCCCGTACAACACATTATAGATGACGAGTTAATGAGTAAAAAAACACCGCAGTGATTCGCCGCCACCCGATAAATACATCTTCTTCCCTATTACTAAGCATTAGGTTTGCCCATACTCCTCTTCACTATTTACTACAGAAGAATAATTGAAACAAGTCATTCGAATTGTATAGTATTATAATACGACTATGAACGTTGATCGCCTATAAGCCTTGGGCACACTAACGTGGAAAAGTGCGAATAATAGAATATAAGAAATATAATATATAGAAATAGTTCATAAAAATCGTTTCTTCACAGTAAAATGTTCGTATCAAGCACAGGATTACGCATATAGGTACCACTAATTTCAGTTAAGTTGTATGGTTTTATTTCTAGTAAACGTTAAATGTGTAGTAAACAAGTCCGTTTCCTTACATCTCTACTCCTCGCGCACAACGCCGCCGATCAGAAAGTATAATAATAATAATAATAATAATAATAATACGATGATCATAAAAATAATAATAATAAGATAATATTACGCCTGGAGTTACCTGCATCTACTTCCTCGACGTGTGTGCCCTGCGTGTCCGTCTTGACGAAGTCTACGTCTTTTCAATATTTCAATTATTTGGACCTTCCCAGCAACATTGCGCAGAACAACAATATAATAATATTAATAATTACTGATGTTACTGCAGGTGTATAATATTATATAATATGTGTAAAACAAAATACATTTAATTGTGCTTCTGATATATATATATATACATATACATATATATATATATATATATGTATATATATATATATACACATATATATATATATATATATATATACACACGACATTTATTTTATACTGTTATATTAATAGTGTACCCATAAATTAATAGTAATTATAGTAATAATAATTTGTTAAACTTGAGATAAATTTAGCATTTCTTCAATACATTTTGTTATGTTGATTTTTGTAGGTACTGATAATAATTATTTTTATTTTTTCGTAATAATAATAATAATAATAATAATAACATAATATATTCTATGTACAATAATAATCCCCCGGTTTATGCCTTTGGAAATCAATAAAAATATGAATATTATACCATTGATTTTAAAATGTACTTTAAAATCAATGATTATACAAAGTAAACCACGATTATAGTCAAAACAGAAAAATAAATATATTTAACCATTCGAGTTCTTTACTTGAAATGTTATTAATAAGTATATACTTACTACTATTATTGTTTATTATAGTTATTATAGATATATTTAAGAACTGTCGGAAATCGGAAACTTAATTGCTTTGCTCTAATATTGGCATACCTACTATAAATGTTATCAATTAAACCTCAACGACAGAAGTAAAACAATAATATAAATGTTGTTTCGTTAGATTTAGTAATTATAATAATAGCATTAGTAATAATAATAATTAAAACCTTCCTTGTTATCTGATAGATGTTTATATTTAATGGTTCGTTGTTATTTTAGTATTCCTATATAATTCAGTTGTTCCTTCTTTGTGATACTTACTCTCTAAAATAACTCATGTTTCTTTTGATTTCATTATCTGTAGGCTGTTCACGAAAAAAATTATTTTGATCGACGACAATCTATTTAAGTTTTATCTGGCTATAAATACGTCTCTAAAGTACAAATACCCATCACATGTTATGTATATTATATCAATTCGATGTTTTTATTTCTAAAGTTTCACTTGTTACCTTCTGCTGCCGCTGTTAAATAGTTTTAATTTTCATATAAATAATCAAATACCAACGAATACAGCATACTAATATGATAGTTTAATGGATCCATCTATTTACTGCACCTACTCAAATAATATTACAATAACCATTATAAGTATCTATTTTTTTTTCAGTAATCAAACAATAATTTAGTTATCAGTTAGTATCAGTTACAATTAACTAGGTATACGTAATACATTTAAACCACACACAAACACACACAATTGCGAATTTTAAAATTTTTGGGAGGGGGTTTACAATTTTTTAAAAAATTATTATTATTAATAATTTAGTAACACTATAAAAAATATATATAAGGTATAAATTAATATTTATATTAGGTGTTATATAAATATTTTTAAACAAGCATTACAACCACATAATTAAATTATTGTTCTCTTTCTCTATACCTTCATAGTACCTAAGTTATTTATGACTTTTGAATCTTCTTTTCTTCTGGGAGCGGTCGTTACCTGAAAATCCCCCCTCTCCAAAAAAAAAAAGAATTAAAAAAGTATGCAATTGCACACATACACAATAATAACATAATATTTGTGCACATACAAATTGACGGGAAGTATCAAATATGGTCACGTGAGCAAAAAATGTCTTTTTATACAATTCTAAGCTTTTTAAAATATTATAATATTATGATCTTAGATCAGACCAAAAATGACTAATCTCCCGTCCATTAATATTGTTCAAGCAAACACCATTTATATTTTAATAATGATTATCAATTGATCAAATAATTATTGTTATACAGATATTAACATACAGTTAATGTAATGTAGATATATATATGTGTGTATAAAAAGTGCCAAATTTTAATAAATTAAATTGTAATATTCAGTTTTTAAACATTAACCATCGAGATGGTCCAGAAAGTTAATAATACATAATTAATATATCTTCTACACAATATATACAATGCGGTCTTAAAAAAATAACACGATTTATATAATTTATACTAATAAAGCTATAGGTTACTCGACTTAGTATTATAATATTATTCGCGATTCCGTAGCAGCAGTGTGTTGAGCGATATTATTTGTCTCGTTATCTCCAATGCTGCATACAATATTATTCATTCCAAAATTTAACGCCTAAATATCACATTAGGTAGGCGTAACGATCTAAATATCTTATAGACAACAATTCCGTACAGGTGTGGAACTAAACCGTTCAGAAAAACTTAACTGTCGAGTGCAAACTGATATTTAATCTCATTCACGAATATATCAATACTCTATATATATCAAGATATCAATATATCAATACTCCCTAAGAACACTTGTAGTATTGGTCACATCCGGATAGCGCATTATTATTAATATGTCGTTGATGTTGTGATTCTGGACCATTTCGTTCTTATACTATAATATATTATGCGTATCTACATGTATTAGTCAAGGTCATTAAATTATAATTATGTAAAGCTAATTTATTATAATCGATATTGTCATAGTTTTTTAGATAATTAATAATTGTAATTGTGTTGATTAATTTTACTTATTTGAGACTATGCCTACAATCTTTTTGTACATATTAAATATTACAATTTATTATAATTTTACAAACAATATTATTATAATTCTATAATTGATATTATCTTTGTACCTATATGTGTTTACTATTCATGTCTAACATACATAGTTATGTATTATATTGATGATATGACTATCATTCTCCCCACGCGATATGAAATACGTTTACCAATAATTAACATTCATATCTACAGGGTGTTTAAATATATAAAAATAAAAAAAAATAAAATAAAAAGTAACACATTACATTGTATTGAGCATCTAGATAAAAATATATGTATTATTTTGTACGAAAATCTTTGATAAATTTATTTCTTTTGCATATTGATTTATTTTCAAATCGTGTAATAAATACCTACATACTAAACTGGTTACAATTATTATGGATTGAAACTACTCTAAAAAACTGTACTTAACCCTTCTCCCCTATCACAATGAAAAAAATCTATTGAATACACGAAAAACGTTAACAAAGTAATATTATTTTGATTTTTACAATACACCCATGTATATTATAGTAAAATCACGCACAATAACAATATATTTTATTAAAAGTTTTAAATATATTATTATATATTACAGTTATTTCAATATAATTTAAAGTCTAAACGTTGTATTGTTAAAATATGCCATTCGTTTTGTACACCCTGTAGATGCAAAATGAGACTTTTTGTTTAAATGCATTTTCGCATTAATATATATATATATTATCATTACGATTATTTCTGTAGATTTTGAATTTATGAAAGAATTAGAAATTATAATTTATTAATTGTTATAGTTATATTAGAATAGTGATTATATTACATGTTTACCGATAGTTATAATTCATAATATTAAGTTTTTTAATTTATTGTAAACTTTATTTTCACTTTATTATGTTCTTTTGTCTGAATGTTTACTCCATTCTTTGTTTTTTGCCTGATAATAAATCTAAACGTAAATAAAATTAGTTTTTATGTACAGCGAGATTTTTTAATTTGTGCCTACATAAGTTATGTATAGGTTACATCTACTATTTTTCCAAATCTTAATCACAATACCACATTCAAGATGCTACAACAGGTGCCAAGGGGGTGCCTAGTGGGCTACAGCCCCTCCTCCCCCGAAATGTTTCAAAAAACTTAAAAATTATTTTAAACGTTTATTATATTTTAATGGTGCTTTATGCTTAATTAGAAATAATTTTATAAAAAAAAATAGAAAAATGAATTTAATCTGGTTACATTTATTTTATTCAATTGTACTTCAATAGTTCATTAAAAAATTTTAAGGTTCTCAATTTATGGTTCAATGCTTATTATTAAGAGTTAATTATATAATAAATAAATAAATTATAATAGTATAATATATTTTATTCGTAGCATATTTTATTATAGTAATAGTCCAGTAGACATATATTAAATAGTCAAGTACCCCATCATATATCCTTTGTTCATAAATACAGGATTATACTTACTATAGGAAATACGTAAATAATGTGATCAGTTGAGACAATTTTTATCGCCTTTGTCAAATACTTTTGAGAAATTCTGTAAATAAAATATTTACAAGTACCTACTGTGTCTTGATAGTAATTCTTAGATAGCAGAGGCAATTTAACTCTATCCATAG